TATATAGCCATGATACCTCTTCCACCATAAATTTTGCATTACCACCCTATCTATCGCTAAATGTGACTCCAAATGACTGTGTATTCTGCAGTTATATTTTCCAGATTTTTTTCTGGACTTTGTGGCCAGGCCTGAAATCTTGACCTCTCCCTTCTTTGACCCATTCTGCTTGCAGTATTTTACCTCAGTCATCAGATAGCACCTGATTAAGTGAACTTCTGCCATCAGTTGCCCCGCACACTCTGCCTTACCGGGGCACTGCAGGGCTTGCTGCCCTCCAGAAACTCATCCTGTAGATACCTCTCCTAACAGGGAAAGATGAGTCCAGTTCATCTGAAAATATTGTCAAGAAATAGGACACTCTATCACAAGGAGGTCAAAATCTCAGTCACATTTAAAGTGTGACATGATGGCATCCCGAAAAATACTTAGTTTACCAGTCAGTACTGGGTCTATAAAAGGATAGAGCTGGAAAATGAGCAAGTGTTCTTTTGGAATCCCAGTTCCACTGTCTTCTACTTATGTAAAACAAGTTTTAACCTTAAAGTTCCCAGCATGGGGCCTGTCACATCAAAGTAGGCATTTAATAAATGTTAGTTCTCTCCCGAACTCTAGTAAGTATTTACAATGTGTAATGCTGGAATGGATCACTGGAGTACTAAATGGTGTCAGAATATGAACAGGTGGATGCTCAGGCTGCTTTATATTTCACAGGGGGAATATTGGTGAGTTCTAAGCTGAAATATAAGTTAGAATGTAAAATATGCCACTAAAACTTATGGAAATGGGAGTCTAGAGAAAGGATAGATTAGTTTTAGTGGGAGGATAAGAGAAAGCTTAACGGAAAAAGTGGCAATTGAAATGAAATATAAAGATTTTTTTCCCATTTGCCTGCATATTAACAAATGTAATTTGCTGTTCCTAAGGGTATTCTAAGTGATGAGAAACAAGGTGAACAAATAAAGTTAATAAAGAAAATGTTTGGGGAATTCCTAATGGTCAAAGGTGGCTAGAGCAGAGCACACATTAAAAGAGGTAGAAAATAATTCAGAATGCTATGTTAGGCCATAGTTTGAAGGGCTTTAATGCTTAACATCAATTAGAAACTTGGCATACTGGGCAGGAAAGCCTTAGCTTTGAGTAAGGAGTTCTTGGCTCCTAACCTTTGTACAAAACTTGTTGATATACATGGACTCTAGAGATTTACTTACTGTTCAGGGTTCAAATTTCACTTTCCACTTATCAGTTTTGTGACATTGAAAAATTATTTGCTCTTCCTAGCCTCAATTGTAAAATGAGAATATTAGATTGTGCCATATATTTTAAAGTATGCCACTGTTTATAAATCTGTTGGTTGGGAAATGGAAAAGAGTTTTCATGCAAAATTTTTGAAAAGGCAAAATTTAAAATCTTGAAAATGAAAGTAACTAAAGAAATCTAGTGTTAGGCTCATTCTATGATTATAAAGCAATAGATAAAGTAATAATTTTAGGACAGTGTGAAAAGAAGGACTCAATGAAGGCAAGAAAAGCATTTTGAGTTTGATCTCAAATGAAATACTATAGGGACTTAAAATGATTAAGGTTTTTTTGAGGAAAAGGGGAATCATTTATGAGATATTATGCCAAATTAAACCAGAATTGAGACTTGATTAAATATCAAGACTAAAATTAAGAAACACAGAAGTATTATACTTTTAGATTTACTTATTGTATGTTGTCACATAAGTGAAATGATTTAATGATGAGTTAATTCTTGTTTACTTGGAGAGAGCTGCAATGCATGCATAGTTTTTCTTGTGACGTAGACTGGGACATGTTACTAATCCAGCAATGTGGATTGTATGAGATGGGTGCTTTTCGCAGTATTGAGGACAAAGTGGAGAACAAGAAAGACTTCTTGTTCTAATAGATCTCTTATTCTAGGATTAGCAAAGGTGAAGAGAGACAACAAACAAATGAAGAAAACAGCAGCTAGAAAAAGATGTGCTAAGGAGTATCTTGGATGCTAGGGAAGGCTTCCTAGAGGAGGATGCACTTAGGTTGAGAGTCAAATGTTTGAAGGAGCCAGCAAGATGGAGTGATAGAGAAATAGCATTATAGGTAGAGAAAACAGAGTGTAGAGATGCTGGGCTTGGTTTATGCCTCGATGTGTTCTAAAAATTGAAACAAGCCAACCAGCAAGGAAGGGCATAGTGAACCTGAAGGGGAGATACTCAGTGATGAGATGAAAATATGTTGGTTCACAGTGTGGCACTAACTCCAAATCTCATTCATAATCTCTTCTTGATTTTGTTGAATCTTTACAGTCCAGTATATGACCTCACTCATAGAAGACATAATAAAACCATATTTTTATATCAACACCAGAAAAAATAAAACTTCCATTTTTTTTAAGAGAAGAAAATTGGGGCTCAAAGATATTCAACTAATTGATCAAAGTCACACAGCTTGTAAATGACACTGACAGGATCCACAGCAGGTCTTATGATTTCAGGACGGGAACAGTTTCACTTCCCGTGGTGTCATGTTCCCTTCTTATGTAATCCTGAAAGAATAACAGAGAGTTACTGACCTCTTATCAGAGAGCCTGCAGGAGACGCTTCTATAACTGGTGATAAACGTTTTCACCAAATGACAATGAAAGAGTCCTCTACTTATAGCTGATGAGCTGACCCGTTCTTGCCTGCTGTAGGGTTAGGGGTAGAGGGGTACAGGCAAGTACCTTGGGGCAGAGAACTGGTAGAGTGATTTTATATATATATAT